GTGCCACCTGCTGCTCCCTAGGTGGGTACTTTAATTATTTTTTTGAAGTTTGTTTTAGTCAGGAGAGAGAATACATATGTGTGCACTATGAGGGAGGGAGGAGATACTCTCAACAGGGTCTCATCCTGCTGCAGTCCCCTTCCCTTAGCCCTCCAGCTTATCAGAATATTGGGCATGCATACACCTGGCATATATTCAGGTCAACTTGGGATCTAAACTTATGATTGGCTTCTAGCACTGCAGTTTAATATGATACCACCTGTGTCACTGAGGCTGAGCCTGGATGGGGACTTTTAAGGAAGGTTTGTGCAGGGAGGTGCTAAACCTCTGGTAGACAGGTAAAGGTGAAATGTGTATGAAAAAGAATATGGAACATAAATACATAATTTCCTGTTGCTGGGATGTCAAGTTTGAGAAAGGAGTCCAGTTTATTTCATTTGTAAAATTGAGATGATGATGATCACTCTCTAAGTTGTTTTGATCAGTAACTGAGAACCAGTTGTGCTGGGTAAAGTGCCCAGCACAATGTCTGGTACACTACATGCTCAATCTATGTGAGTTTCCCTTTGCCTTCCTTCCCTGACTCTCCTTTCAGCTCTTCAGTTTCCAAGGCTTGGGGCAGCTCATCTACTGCTCACCAGGAATAAGACCCCAGCCTCTGCTGCTTCCCATGAAGCCTCTTCTAATTCCCTTCCACCTAGGCACTCCAGACAGCAAAAGTATCTAATGAGAAAATCTGACTACCACCATACTTAAAACCACTTCATGAAAAATTAAGAATGTAAGTCAATATTTAGCTAAAAGAGTATTCACGGCAATGCCATTTATTACAGTGAAAAAAATGGAAGCAGTTTAAGAGTTTAATAAGAAGGGATCAGGTAAAAATTGGTTTATCATTACTACAAGAGAATGTTAATGATGTACAAATATGTTTATAATATGTTTAATAAAAAGAAAATATGTAAAATATATCTATTATTGGGACCAGCAGGTGACATGGTGGTTAAGGTCCTGGACACTCCCCACATGGCTGACCACGGTTTTAGTCCTGGATCTGGTGGCTTGCTTTCTCGCTCCCCCTCACCCCCATATGTGTGTCTCTCTCTGTTCAAATTAAAATGAATGAATAAATTAAAAAATACAAGACATGGATCCTGAACTTCAGCTGTGAAATAGTGCTTTCAGAGACTTAAAATGAAGATATTCTGCTGAACTGTCTCCCTCATTCATTTCTAGAAAGACACAAACCCAGGCCCATCCCACATGGATCCTGAATTTCAGCTGTGAAATGGTGCTTTCAGAGACTTATAATGAAGATTTTCTACTGAAACGTCTCCCTCACTCGTTTCTAGACAGGTAGCATTACCTGTCTCTTTCTCTCCATTTCTCTCTCTCTGTGTCTCCCTGTGTCTTTTAATTAAAAAAAAAAAATTTTAAGGTAAAGTATTCTCTGGGCTCCCAAGCCCCTTTACTGTGCTAATAGGTGCCTCTCCCCATTCTACTTAGGAAAGGCACAAACCAGGCCCATCCCCCATGGATCCTGAATTTCAGCTATGAAATATTGCTTTCAGACTTAAAATGAAGATTTTCTGCTGAAATGTCTCCCTTACTCATTTCTAGTGGGTAGTGTCACCTGTCTCTTTCTCTCCATTTCTCTCTGTGTCTCCCTGTGTCTTTTAATTAAAAAAAATTTTTTGGAGAGATTTTTGCTACAGGGCACATGCACTCCCCAGAAAGACAGAGAAAGACAGAGAGACAGAAAGTGAGAAATCACCCCCCCTGGGGGTGTGGCCATGTGCAATCCCTTCTCCATTCTCCTCTTGGGATCATGGGCAAATGTGCCCGGCGTGAGTTTAAGCTACCAGGTCTGGGACTTGAACCATGGTTGACTACATGAGAGTTCAGTGACATAGCCATTATGCCAGCTGCTGGTCCCTAAAGAAAAAGTTTTTAAGGTATTCTATGGGCTCTCAAGGCTCTTTATTGTGCTAATAGGTGCCTCTCCCCATTCTATTTAGGAAAGGCACAAACCCAGGTCCATCCCACATGGATCTTGAACTTCAATTGTAAAATAAACGCTGCACGGTTTTCAATTTTTGCTTTTTAAAATTAAAATCTAATGTTTTTTTTATTATCTTTTTAAAATACTTTCTTCTTGTTTCCTTTTCTCTAATTCTTTTTCTTCTTTTTTATTTTTTTTTTGTAGAGGTTTTTGCTATAGGGCGCGTGCACTTGCCAGAAAGACAATGAGAGACAGAAAGTGAGACATCCCTCCGTGGGGCAATGGCCACTCCCCAATCCCTTCTCCTCCATTCTCCTCTCGGGATCTTGGGCACTCAAGCACATATGCCAGACATGAGTTTAAGCCACCGGGTCCAGGACTCGAAATGCGGTCGACTACATGGGAGTCTAGTGACATAGCCATTACGCTTACTGCTGTCCCTCTTTTCCTTTTTCTTTATCTTTACTCATTGGCTTCTCAGCTCCTACACACTAAGTGTCTAGACAGGTCCAAGTGAACAGGATCTAAACATCTGAATACAATTAGGGTCAGAATATTCCTCTATTACCACTGATTCTGATGTCCAAAGAGTGAAAATGGAATAGAAGAGAGATTGCAGATCATGTTCTGCATGTCTCTAAACACTGAGATTGAACTTCAAGAATTAGGAAGAAACACACTATCCATCAGATGACTAGAAATCACCGCAGGGTCACAAGAAATATGGGAAAACAAGAAAATACCTCTCCTCCAAGGAAAAATAATAACTCCTCTTCATCCTCAGACAGTATGATGAAATTCATGGAAATGTCAGATAAAGAATTTAGAATTTTTATGGTGACAAAGCTCACAAAGATTGAAGAGAAAAGAGACAGTGAACTACTGAAGAGGCAAGAGAAAGGAGATGACAAGTTCCAGGAGGTGAGGAAATTCACACTTTAAAGAATAAAATGGACCAGCAGTTAGCGTAATGGCTATGTCGCTGGACTCCCATGTAGTTGACTGCGGTTCAAGTCCC